ATTCCATTCACACACAGAAGAAGGCAATTGCAAACCACTTCTGGATCATCTGCCAAGAACGTATATGAACAGGTCCCAGTCCGAGAAAAGGATGGAAGGATCCTGTTCATATGGACCTGTCGTCAGACAGAACACTACAAATAAAAGTATAAGGCTGGCCGGATAAAAATCGACGGATGGCTGGGGATTACTTATGCCAGTCTTAAATTCTAGATTATGTAAAGTCAATTTTTCCGGAAAACTGCATTCATAATTATCGTTGGGAAACTCTAGTAAAAGACTGATTGGGAAATATATTCGCATATAAGAGAATGTTATTAGGTAAATGGGTTGTTAGATGTGACACGGATTGTCCAGTAGCGAGATTCTGTGTTCACGATGATGAACCTTGGTTTACGTAACAAGAGAATTACTGTACTTTATGAGCTGACTATGTATCAACTGCTTAAGAAAAATGATGAACCAAGAATATGGTTAGTAATTACGTTTATGTCGATGTGTGAACTGCAAAAATTTTATGAGATATTGATATATTGGAATAAATAAACATATTGGCATTTCCCTGGGAGGACTGAATAAAACAACGCCATTTGTGATGAATTTTCTTGCTGAGGAATTCCCAGATACGAAATCGATAACATCTGCTCTGTATTAGGGAAGATGCCTTCTTGTATTACGACGTGGAGTCGATGTTAATAAAGCTCGCGGCCAGAAACGATTTATGACAGGGACTGTGCCGTCTAGTTTGCGATTGTTTAGTCACAAGCTGCGTCAACTGTTAGAGTATGATTGATTGCTGAGATTGTAACGCCAATATCCGTAGTGCGAGCTACAACAGAACCACTTAATGCATAGTTCTCAAATTCCGTGTGTGGTAATAAATCTTAAAAATATTCAACATTTGTTAAGGTAATTTCTTTTTGTGGAATGAAAACGACTTAAGTTATGCCACCACACAAAATTTACATTAGGCTTTCAGTTTGACGGCGATAAATAATGAAGCACACAAGGGGTGGGACTTGAACTTGTAACGACCTTGTGTACAGTCCTACAATTTACGTAAGTCGACTCGGATTAATCATAACAAAAGGATCAAAGTTAGAATTTTAACTGAACTTCAGTCTTGGTAGTGATATTTTCTCCACGCCAGATGTATTGGTTACATTTTTTCCCTAAAAGTAAAGTTTGTCCCACTATACGCCATGTAGGCGTTTGGGGTGAGTGGAGGTATAGCTCCTCTCTTCCTTGACCTCGGCACTAGATGGGGGTGAGTGGTCAGCATCACGCCCCGGCCGGCTTTACCCCCGGGAAAGGACCCCCGGTACCCATTGTAGAGGAGGCTGGGTGGGCCTCCCAGAGGCTAGAGGAAAAATCCTCTGTCCCCGTCGGGGATCGAACCCCGGTCGAACATGCAGCAAGACTTCATCGCGTGGAGGATCCTGAGTCCAGTCTCCTCTGTGTTTAAGTGCTTACCATCATGATCTGCGTGCAGTACTTACCCTGGACTGGAATCTTGCTGCTGTATATGGTTCGTGTTGGGACTGAGCGACTCCAGGTCCGGATCGCCCTTGATGACAGCCTCGCTGGTAGCCACGTCATCCGCGATGGTCTTCTTCTTGAGCCGCGGAGAACTCGCGGCTCTCACAGTAACCACCGAGTCCGAGGATCTTACAGACTCCATGGACTCCGCAACAGCTTCAGCAGATTTGTCGGGCATCGCCGATGTCTCGATTTCGTCACTGGAAGACTTTGTTGGTCCCACCGGATATGGTTCACTCGAGGGTTTGGCCAGCTCGAGTGTTGGGGCTGTCGTGGTGGATACAAGGGTAGTGGAAGTATCTGGAGTGACGACGCTCGATGGTGCTGGCATGGGGGGTGCTGATGTGATGCTGGTAGCGGTCTCTTCGTTCGGGTTACTTGTAGTCTGGGCGAAGGTGGCTGGAGCTGATGCCATAGTCGGATTTACGTAGGTTCGTGTTTCCAGAGATTTATTTGAACCTGCAGAGTCCTTGGAGGACTCTGCTTCGGGTTTGGAGGTATTTTTCGAGGATTCTGACTCTACTTTCGAAGAATCTTCTGTGACGGACGTAGTTTTCTCTGTCACTGGCTTCGATTCTGTCTTTGTTGGTTCTGAGTGTAATGGTGCACTGGTTTTACTTTTATTTGCCCCGGGTTTAGACCTCGCCTCTGGCATAGGGTTAGTTTTATTCACTCCTGCAGCAGCTTGTTTGCCTTTGCTGGCTGGTGGCAGCGGTGGCTTCCCCGATAACGGCTTCAGATTGCTGTTCTTTCTCAAGACGGTTTGTTGCCTGTTGACAGCTGGGGACGCACCTTTCTTCTGATTAACGACTTTGCTGTTCTTTCTTGCCGGAGACTGCTCACGAGAGGGCGCAGGCGATTTGCGCCCTCTCGCTGCTGGCGGTCGGGGGATGCGCGAAGGCGAGGGTTGCGCATCCTTCTCCCCCGTCACTGGGCTCTTCGCTGTCGAGTTATCACGTTGTTTTTTTACGCTTATCTTGCGTCCATTCTTAGGGGAGGACGGCTTGCTGCGTGGGGGCAAGGTCTTAATTTGTGACACTGAAGCTCGTCGCTGCTGGGTCACAGAGCGATTTCTAGCTGGAGATGGTTCACGTGACACGGGTTGTGACCGCGGTATCCGGGACTTACCTGGAGGAGGAAGTTTCCTGCTTTCGCCAGGTGATGGTACTCGGATAGATCTCGCTGATCCAGGCAGTTGAGACTCAGGAGTTTTGATGATTACAAATGACGCCTTTCTCTGGCGACGCGTGGGTGAGCTAAGTCGGTAAGGTCTGGGCGCCGGTGGGGGACTCGGTGTTGGCGGTGGTAATGGCGGCAGAACCGTAAAGGTGTCCGGCGTCAGATGCCCGGCGAGGGTGTCATCCTGTGTCCGGCGCCGTGGCCGATCATAGTCCACGAATCCGTAATCAAAGTCGTCTAAAGAAATTTGCTGGCGGGACCGTACCAGAGTCCCCGGCGGCTGCATCGCTGTTCAGCGCATGTCGCCTGGCGTCTTGCCCGACGGCGAGTGAGTAGCAGGTGGCCGGTTGCCTGGATCTGGTGAAATCACGTCACACGCTGCTGGCTAGCTGTCTGTCTGTCTGTAATTATGATTACAGTTATTGTTCCAACATGTGCAACCAACTGCAGACGATACCCTCCCTTGAATATGTCTCACAAGCAGCAGTTAGACCAGTGATTTGCAAATTGTGGTTCGCGAACATATTTTAGATACGCGAAATTTTTAGGTAGTTTGTTGGAAACGATGAGTAATGGATTTTATGATTGTAATATTAGCTATTACCGTTTTTTTGTGGGGATAGGTCTACGGTTTCATTCCTGAAATGTCTGACGCGACCTGAGAAATACACTTTTGTGACTGACGGCGATGAAAATGTAACGTTTGCTCATTAACTGTTACTTTTCCGACGAATTTAAATCCCACTTAATTCTATTGATATTTATGCAAATCTGTTTTAATTAGAATAAATTTTAACTTGGAAATGAAAAGTTTCACTCTTTTATATTCATTGACACGGATCCTGGATATCGAAGAAGGAGGCAGAAATTTTCTTCGAAACGTGAATTTTTTACTATCTCAACACATTATCATAAAATCTATAATGAATTGTGGTCTTTATTTAAACCTTTCAAGTCAAGGGGTAAACATATGTACCGGCTGATTTGACGAATATGTTTAACTATGTCACACTGCCAGTGTTACCATTTCTACATAACTGAAACTGCACAGTGACTTTTCGAACGTCCTGTAGTATGGTGTTAATAACTGATTGCTATTTATCAATTCTCTTTCGCGAGCTCTCTTACCCGCGGTATTTTCGAAATAGACTGTTATTGGCTCAACTACGAAATAATTTCGTCTTATAGGTCTACAGCGAATGTCGATATCTAAAATGCCTAATAACTTTAATTATCTAATTAACCCAATGATAATAGTGGCATTTCCTCCAACTCTGATCTAGAGGCTGTTTCAATTGAAATAGTATTCATCAGGTGTCGTAGAAGCCTTTAATCGATTTTATGTGAGAGCATCTAAGCTCATTGTAAGACACTTGTGGCAGAAATCGCCCCATTTGTGTTATCGGACGTTTTTCCGACGCTTGTAGTTTCTCTGCGTGTTTTGATAACGATTCCGGTAACCGGTTCCTGGTGATGTAACACAGCTTCACGATTTTGTCCTCTGGCTCAGAACTCCGGTAGCGGTTTCTTCCCGAGTTAGGCTTTGTCTATCGCCGTTACATTACTTTCTCCGAATACTTTCCTCGCGTGTCTGGGCGGAAGCAAGTGTCCGAACAGATATTCTTCTAGAAATCGTCAAGGCTTAAGTCTTTTGAATATCCAGCCGTCTGTTTACTTTTATGATGAAAATCTGGACGTAAAAGTTGTCCCTGATGCTAAATTAAGCCTGGGGAGTAGAGGGGGTATGGCTCCAGTCATTCTTCACTTTGACACCGAATAGAAGTGAGTTGTCAGCTTCAAGCACCGTCCTCTGTACTCTCGCGGAAGGGTAGCTAAGATAAAAGTGCATCTTAAAAATATAATGTGCAGGGTACCGTAGAAGCAGGGCCTTTTTGTGACTAGCTTAGTAAATATCAACAGGTATATTATTTCAAAGACCGTCCCATTTAACTACGTAATGGTTGCATTTAAATTCAGAACGCCTTTCTTTCGCGGCAACTTCTCCGACACTCGTATGATGCGTGTAGTCTAACAACCCTTGCTGTAGGCGAACGATCTGTACTCTTGTCATTTCCATATTTATAACTGCGCGCACAACATTTATGAGCTAACTCTATGAAAAACATTGGTTCCTTCTTGAGAAGTTTGTAGTCTCTCAGCTAGTAAATAAATACTCAACGTTTTCTGAAATAAGAAGTTTCATCCCTAAAGGATTATAACGAAGGTGCGAATGTTCAATATCGCTGTTTTTCTGGACGATTCATCGCCCTGATGACGGAGGCAGTATGGCCTCTGAAACGTTGGTTAACATCGACCAGACTACAGAGCGCAACAACCCAGAAGACAGAAATCTTCAGACTCATCGCCCTGATGACGGAGGCAGTATGACCTCTGAAACGGTGGTTAACATCGACCAGACTACACAGCGCAACAACCCAGAAGACGGAAATCTTCGTACTCATCGCCCTGATGATGGAGGCAGTATGACCTCTGAAACGTCAGGAAACGTCCATCAAACTACACGGCACAAAATCTGAGACGATGTCGATTTCTTTATGTTATGTGAAAAGAAATCCCTCCTCAGACAGCGTGTTTCTCATTATTCTCTTCAAACGCACCCGGATGACACAGGGAGTTGGAGTTAGACAGATTAATTGTTTGGTTTCACACTGAACAACGTTATTCAATGATTCTGTTAATATTTACGTTTCTGTGGTATTGCTTTGTGATTATTGCTACATATGTCAGTCTAAGAGTCGTGGATTCATAAATGTCGTATTATTTTAACCCATTGATGTACTTTAAAGTCTCCCGAACGACCTCAAGTTTGGGTTCTTAGCTATTTTGAACTACTTTGTGCAATCTTGCCCGATGAAAGTCAAAATATTTTTCTTATCGGATTTTTTTAAGGTTCCTGGCAATGTTGTGATGCCATGTGTATAACTATGTCTAAGTTTCTTATTTAAAAACACGAATTTCGGAAGTTATTTATAGTTCCGTCTTTAGGTGACTGGTGGGGGACAAACCCTACTCTGTTGAATCCTCTGGTCGTACTGCCTTGGTCAGACGTAATGGTTTTATATAAAATCACTTAGACAAAAAAAAAAAGTTTAACCGAATAATTATACACATTCATAAGGATGTTTTATTATAATTTTCAGTGATTATTTTTTTTAAATTCTGCAGTTTTGGGTACATTCGGTGAAACGTAAGCCAGTAGGTATACAAGTATATTTCTCTGTAATGTTATTAAAACAGTAACACGACAATTAAACCAAGTGAACCGATCCCAAGCATGTCTAATGTGTGCCAGTACATGAGCATATAATTTATTCTGCATATAATTACTTCTCTTCAAAAGATTGCCTGAAGTTGAATCCGAAGTGTCATCAAACTGATGATAAAATCCCGCCACTGTAACCTACGCAAAGGCATTTTCATATTATTTAACGCAAAATCAGATTACTTATATTCTAGTAGTAGCCTGGGTTCGAACTGTGACCTGATACAACCGATTGTATACTAATCTTTATAGGACAGGGCAAGCTCTATACTGGTATGTTTCAATTCGTTGTCGTCTATCTAAAGTAGCCACGGTCAGAACACTAGCCTTGTAAGCCTGAGGTCCCAGGTTCAGTTCCCGGTGGTGCTCAGATTTATAACTTGTGTTGGGCAAGGCCGTGGTCTAGGCAACACGGAGTTTTCCTCCGGGGGCTTCCCCGGTTTCTTCGTGGCATCCCATTCACACACAGAAGAAGGCAATGGCAAACCACTTCTGGATCATCTGCCAAGAACGTATATGAACAGGTCCCAGTCCGAGAAAAGGATGGAAGGATCCTGTTCATATGGACCTGTCGTCAGACTGAACACTACAAAAAAAATCACCAAGGGGCTTAAATAACAGTCCATACTTTAGTTGCAGCCAAATACTAGCACAGATATTAAATACGGTAGTTCTGGCGAATATTTCAATAATCTCAGTGCGTCAGAAACCATGCAGGGGGCGTGGCACTTGTATCGCTGTACTTACGTGGTAGACCGATGTCGTTCCGTTGGCTCCCACAACGATAATTATTCTTCGAATTTCACATTCGCCCCACAGTCAGATTGTCGCAACACGCCAGTACATCTCAGTAGCAAGTGTCACAGCACCGCTACCAGAATAGACCGGATGGAGTGTCTCTCAAACTCGGGCTAAATCTAAAACAATCCACTTGTGAGGAAGTCGTCGCGTCCGTGTAGTTCAACATCCTACTTCCCTTTACATCGAAGTAGATGATCAAATTACATCTTTGCACAACAAACAAGTAATTGATATTACTTTGGAACAAGTTTATTTTCATTTATGTTTCTTTGCGGAATATAATTTCGGATTGAGTTTCTCGTTTGTCATTGTTAGTGACATTGAAGGTTCATTTATCTCTCTCAGCGAACTAAATTTTAAAATTCCCACTAGTAAATAAACTAGCATATTCACTTTGTTCTATGTACGGGTCCTCTTCATTTCAGTGTGACGGAAAAATTGTACGTAAACACGTCGAAAGAAAGATAAGTTTTTCTTTGAAAGCAAATATTTTTATGTTTATTCACACAAGAGAGTCTTAGTATAAAGTTCTTCATTCGCTCGGTTTATACCCTCGTTAACCGACAGCACTCATCTTTATTACGTTTAAAAATCTGTTTTTTATCTCCAAGTAAACACGTTGAATCTCTGCCACAAAGATCTCTCTGTTACTGATATTTAATCGCTGTTTATTCCGGAAACCAGACGAAATCTTTATATACAATCCGAATATGAAACTTCTAGTCATTTAAGTTGAAGCATTCGGAATAAATAGGCGTATTTATTATGATCTTTGAAGATGAGTCACTGAATATAGATTTGTTTACACTCGGCTGTTTCATGAAATTACAGTTTTAATCACGATTTTAAATGTTAAGACACTGTGAACTGTGAATAGAGACCACTCATCGGTCCCTCAGTCTGAAGAACACTGTTCACATCACAGTACTTGCTGTGGTAGGGGCCGACCCGCTCCTACATCGATCCATAGAAGGGAGCAACTTATTCTTTCGTACGCAGCGGAGAACGAGTCATGGACCTTCCCACAGTAAAGAATTACAATGTTTAATATGAGTCATTAGATCCCAAACTCCAGTCTCGGCGCAAGAAGATGACCGGATAAATTAGTTTACTGGGTTACTTGTTCTGTGTCTACAAGGTGCGATCGGAAAGTTTCAAGACTGCGCGTATAAAAACCCGTACACTTATCTCAGGTATTAAATTCATCCATCACCCTCGGAAGTAGTTCCCCTGGGAGTGAACACAACGATCCCAGCGCCGCTGCCAAGCCTGGAAGCATCCCTGGAAATCTTTCTTTGTCAGCCTGTCAAGCACCATCTGCGATTCTGCCTGAATCTCTTCTATCGTCTCAAATCTCCTTCCCTTTAGCTGAATTTTCAATTTACCAAAACGCCCGTAACTAAGAAACAAATGCTAATTCGATGATGCCGGCTCGCACACTGATTCACTATGAATGTAGGCCGCACCCCCTAGCGGCAGAAGCTCGTACTACATCCAGTTCGCCCTCTATTGACAAAAGTTCGGCAGTTTTTGGCCTCAAACACCCTGGCCGTCATCCCGCACCCTCCTTATTCGTCGGATTTAGCTCCGTGTGACTTCTTCCTCTTTCCAAAGATGAAAATTCAGCTAAAGGGAAGGCGATTTGAGACGATAGAAGAGATTCAGGCAGAATCGCAGATGGTGCTTGACAGGCTGACAAAGAAAGATTTCCAGGGATGCTTCCAGGCTTGGCAGCGGCGCTGGGATCGTTGTGTTCACTCCCAGGGGAACTACTTCGAGGGTGATGGATGAATTTAATACCTGAGATAAGTGTACAGGTTTTTATACGCGCAGTCTTGAAACTTTCCGATCGCACCTCGTACGTTTTCCGGAGATTCCTTGCTCAAAATATTGATATCGGTCTGAAGACGTAACATGAATTAAGTTTTTCGTGGTCTTACTCAGTTTCTCCAGTCAAATGCTGAGACAGCAGCTTAAATTTGCAGTCGATCTTCGTCATTTGCTGTTGACGCCTTGTAACCTACCCAGTTGGCAAAACAATTTTAAAGAGAAACGCGAGTTTTAAGAAATTTTCATCAAGTGCCTCAGTCTGTGTGGTGAGACTAGCGAGCAGTGTAAATAAATAGGCCTGATTTACAAATTAATGAACCACTTACTTACGTCGTACATGATCATATTCTTAACCAACTCTTCACAATTGCCACTTTTGTTTAAACATCGTCGTTAAATAATCCAAGAACCAAACAAATATGAAAATATCATGTCCGCTTTTCGTCAGTTGACCCCGGAGCTTCCATAATTCACTTTCGTGACGAGTGACGAGTATGTTGGCTTACACTCGGCACGCGTCAGTCGTTTGTTTCACCAGACGTTCAGTTGCCATCAACTAAATTGTAGAGTTCATTGAGTAAACACGTAGGCTTACTAACTTTTCGAGTAAAATGAATCAGTTTTACGTGAATTTGATCTTCGACGTGAGAGCCGATACTCGAACCCGGTTCCTCCGTGATATGAAGCAGGGTACCGTAATGTTTGTTCTTATGGTGGTGGTAGTAGTGACGGTGGTCAGCTGCAGTTCGTCTCGGGATTAAACCTAGGCCTGCTTCTTGTGGATTAAAGTCACGCAGAAGAGTTTCGACCCAGGCTATCACACGAAGCGCTCTACTCGTTGATATGTCGTTGTCTACTTCGGCTCCTTGACACAGATCGAAACATCTAATGGGGGTGGCAGAAATTATCCCCTCCCGCCCTCTGGCCTACTTTTCAATGTGAATATTCATGTCTAAGAACAACTCTGTAGGTGGTTGCGTGTGATTTTCAGAAGGGGTCCTTAGCCCGTATTATGGAATCACGTATGGCAGAGAACTGCTGTACAGGTGTCCCAAAAGATGTATACACAAATTGAATGAATGACATAACGACATTTTAATAAACTAGACTAGTGGTAAAAAACCTGGGGTACGCGTACCCCCGGGGGTACGTGAAATTAAAAAAAATATATATTATTTTATGATAAACACTGAATAATCAGTAATGTAATTTATATAATTTATTTTAAATGTAGATTATATACTATGTATAACTTGAATTATACACCAACAAATTTGGGGGTACAAAGTTGAAGAGAAATTATATTTGGGGGTACGCAAAGACATCTTAGGGGGTACGTGAAATTAAAAGAAACATATTATTTTATGATAAACACTGAATAATCAGTAATGTAATTTATATAATTTATTTTAGATGTAGATTATATACTATGTATAACTTGAATTATACACCAACAAATTTGGGGGTACAAAGTTGAAGAGAAATTATATTTGGGGTCTTTGCCAGCTGTGTCATCTGTTAAGTGTGAACCACACTAGGTCCCACTCGTAAGAACAACAAACGGGCCTCGATAACGAGCTTAATATTTCATATTATGATGTTTATCTTTTCGGGACTTTCTGTATCATTTGAAAAACCAACTAGAAACACGTACTTTAATTTAATAGTGTATGATGACCTGTGTGTGTTTTCGGAGAGAAATGAACTGTTATGGAACACCAGAATACACTTCTAGATTTATGACATCTGGTGATTTAAGTTTCTTTTTTGGGGGGAGTGTACTGCCGAAGCCTGGAGTACCAATCCAATGGATACCGGGGGCCTTTCCCCGGAGTAAAGCACGGCCGGGGCGTGATGCTGACCACTCGCCCCCATCTAGTGCCGAGGTCAGGAATGAGTAGGAGCTATAAAACCTCTCCCTCCAAGCGCCTACATGGCGTATAGTGGGACAGCTTTACTTTACTATAGGGGGGTTAGTATGTGCAGTTTGTCCGTACGTTAAACAATTTTCGTGAATGACACGTTGTTATTTGGACTGATATTGAAACTCGGAAGGCCTGACACTTAGGAATACCAAAAATGCTCTTAATAGCCTAATTTCTGAATTTAGGTAATGGCATTTCGTACACTGATTATCCAGATATGAGGACTCGAACTTCCATACGTGATCTTCACATAAGTGCTAGTTTCTTGTCTGCCGGGGAATACAGATTGCCAAGTTCATTTTGCCGTGAGACCTGGTCCTTGGTATTATTTAATATTTCTTCTACAAATTTGGTAATCTACTCCATACAGTAACGACTGGAACATATCACCAGTTATAGGAGTGATAACAAAGTGAAAAGTTGAGTTTTAGTACGTGTTGCTTTTTCCTTTAGGTAACCACAGCTTCCTTTCTTTCCCCCCCCCCCATTTTCAAAACCATTTAATGCTCAGAAGCTTTATCATACAAAAATGCACCCCAAAACGAAAAAATGCCTTTCCATTCTCACATTTTAATCTGATATAAAATGAGATGATAAAGTTGCGTCATATTGTGATAAATATATATTTGTTTAAATCTTGTCAGTCTAATCACAATAAAATTCCTATTAAATATTAAAATATTACTCGATAGAGAACATCATTTTAATATATTTTAAATATTTAAATGTTAATTATAGTAATATTTTAATATTTAATAGAAATTTTATTGTGATTAGACTGACAAGATTTAAACAAATATCTGATATAAAAGTAGGTCTATCCCATTTTCGGTCGGACGATGCTCGTTTGTTAGTAGTTGAAGTTAATTTGTTGGCCGTACTACAGGTGACCCTAAACTGTCTTACGTCCACCTGTTCTTCTTCTCGTGGTGCGACGAATTGCCTCTTTTCACGAATCTTGGCAAGAGATCGTTTGTTCTATTTTCTTGTCTGGGGCGGGGTTACTTCAAGATGGCAACCGGAAGTAGCGTGTAGTACTAGTGGTTCGCGTGATGAAAACGACTACAGCGCTCTTCATGGCGGTGACTGCTGCAGTTGCCATCTTCATTAACCCTTTGAAGCCGAAGATCGTCTGAATATTATTTATGAATTCAGTCCGTACCGCGAAGAAAACACTACACCTCACCATTACGAAAATCAGCTGGTTAACCCTTTGAAGCCGAAGCTCGTCTTCATAATATTTACGAATCCAGACCGTACCGCGAAGAAAACACTTCACTTAACCATTAGAAGTCGAATCAGGCGGTACCACATAAGATTTAACAAAAGAACATCCCGGTCAAAGCCTTAATAAGGAACTTGCTTCAATAATCAGTCCTGTCTTCATCGGATTCTTCAGAATGCCAATCCCACCTTCCCGCAGGCCACTCTCTAGAGAGGCTAGAATAATCTTTAAATCTGTCATTTTGACTCCGGCCTCTGTCATTTATATGGTTCCCGTTTTACCCGGCGATTCGCAGGAAGGCAACCCCCTCGTATAACGAGTCACTTGTATTGTTAATGATTAGGGAGGGGGTGTGAGAAGGAATTTAAGTGTTTTAGAGTTTTAATCCAACATCTGCTTGGAAGGAATTGATTTACCACGAAAATTCTACCGAATGCTGTGATGTTTCTTATTTGAAAAATTCCGCGATTGAGTCTCGGCTATGTTTAGTGAGATTCATCATTTTACTCAGACCCCTCCAGGTATATTAACTCAAAAGAGAACCACAAACGCATCCTTCACCAAGTCATAATAACTCGCCCTTTCCATCCAATGTGACCTGTTGAGAGTTAAGAAAACGATATTAAACAAAACAAAAGAAACTCAAACACGCGAATAAGACGTGGTGTGCTACTATATAGAACGGACTCGTACTATTGAAATTTACCTCATAATGCAGGTAACCATGCGGTAGGTAGTGCATTAAGGAAATTCGCTTTTGGGCGTTGTTCCATAAATGATTAATGGTTGCCTCCGATTGACAGTATAGACTTACATGCCTGATAAAGTTATATGTAATCTTAGACATCATTTCCCTCAGACTAGGGGTCGGGAACCAGTGGCCTGTTATATAGTTTGGGAAAGGCAAATATTT